GATTCTCACCTTGAGGTCCTATATTTTTTCCTCCTTGACCAGGTCATCAGATAATGGTCAGTGAGTCTCATCACATGGTAACAGAAGGCTTGTACCTCTTCTTACCTAGGTTTTTAATGCTACAAGAACAAATCATGCCATCTGAGATGTGAGGGATTACCTGCCATCCTCTGCCTCCATGTACCCTGTCTGCTTAGTCACTAATGGTTGGGCGGGTGCCAGCTTCATAGTTACACTGTCTTCCTTAGCAGCTGTTTTCAAAGCAACACTAGAACCCCTTCAGACTTCTCAGACAGCACACTATATAAACTGCTTTCACAGGTACTTGTGAGACTTATAAAGATGTATGTCTTAAAAGTTAAGGCACAAATAATATTCTTTCATTACATGAAAATCTTGTGCTGTAGTCCACTGAGTGCTTTGTCCAAACAGCTCCAGCATGGTTGTTTTATTGGGTTCTGAGACTATGTGTGACTCCTGGAATAGAACTCTAGAACACTTTTGGAAGAAATCCTTACACATCTCCTGCATTTATTTTCTGCATTTATTTTCCATTATTTACATTTTCTATCTTCTGTGTGCGATGAATGATCTGCATGTTTTGTTAAACTAAGCTCGGTAAAACTGGACTTTATTTTTTCCAGCATTGTCAGCTTGAGTCATTATTGGGAAAATGTTCAATTGTTTTTTAAAAAAATCTTTTCAACACCATCTCTCCTTTGTTCACATTTATTGTACATTATAATGTACAATAGTGTATATTATAATGTACACTTCACCAAAAGGACTTAATTCCCTTTTTTAAAACATCATAGGATTTAAAATAAGAATTTTTTTCAAACTAGCAACCTAGACTCTTTTCTTGCTTTTGTTCATGTGGTTATTTGACAGTTGGTTACTCATATTATCTTTAACTACAGGCATTTTGCAAAAATCAAAATCTTTTGTTTTTACATTTCAAAGCAATTAATGTTATCTACCTCATTGATTTCTATAAATATTTATTCTTAAAATTTCTGAAGTATTCAATTCCTCAATCATTTATACTATATTGTATTGATATTTACTACGGGGGTTGCTATATTCTAAATTATCTGTGTTCTTCTTTTCTAATGAAACAGATGCTAACACATAGACTACCATCATTTATATTGCCTATTTCAAACCTAATTATTTCAACCTAACAATTAAAAGCACTGAATATATTTCAAGCAGCACAATTAAAGTACATAGTATTTACTGCTTAAGTAGTTTATGTATTTATATATAAAACGCAATAAAGCCTAGTGGCTTTGTTTTTAGAAAAATAAAGAAAAAAATCCCTAAGCACTTCCCTGGTGGTAAAATGCTTAGTAATGTGCTGCTCTATTTCCCTCACTCCTAGTAAGTTCTGTAGTAATAAGCAGAAGCTCTTCAGAATGTACACTTCACGGAAGCAGAGGTACCCAGCATCCCAGCTATTGACATGAGATTTGAGAATGCCAACTAACCTCAGGAGCATGACCAGGCTACACCGCCACCCCACCTGAGCCCTGTTCACAGACTCACTACTCCTAGGGACTTCTTGAATGAGATTTTTCAGCCCGCTTTTAATTTTCCTTGTTGCCTGTTGCCTGCTTTGATACTCTCCACCACTGGGACGAATAGGCAGGGTCCCGCATAATACTGGCAGTCAGCCCCTTGGCGCCTCCTTGTGGTTGGACTACTGCTGAGCTGCTGCACGCCTTGAATTGTTATGGCTTAGTTGCCATCTTGTGCCTGAGGCGAGAAATTGTAGAATGCTTATCCTATGAAGGGCTAAAACCCTAATTAACTATAACAATAACTACAGCATTCTGAGTCCTAGAGGATTACTGTGGGGTATGATGCCACACAGTTCCCTGGCAGGGAGCATCCGGTAGTTCACTGCATGCTGGGGCTATTTGAATAACTTGTACATCTGGTTCTAGAGGGAAAAATTCCCTTCCAGAGCAGTTGTGCAGGCTCCCCTGAGCATGGTCTTCAGCTGGGAATGTGGGATTGTATACTAAGAAAGATGGTCCAATCAATGACCATGGTGACCTTTTGGTTACTTTCTCCAAAGAGACCTACTTGTTGGTCTCCTGGGGATCATCCTTGGCATTCTTCCTAAAAATACTGTTACATAAATCTTCCTCAAAAATGATGCTTCTAAATGTCACAAGAAAGCAGGAAAATAATGGAAACTTTAATGTACCCATTAAGAGTCTATATTTTTAATCAATGTGTGTTTTCAATAACAGCTACTTAATCAGTTTGTCATCAAATCAAAATGCTGTGTTGATTTCCAAAGGGGAAATGAAGCAGAACAACTAATAAAAGTGGGCTTTTTGTGAGAGAACATAAGAACAGATCTTTGTCTTGTGGGGGAAAATGAATGCCTAGTTAAAAAGTTCTGGGTTAGGGTCTTATTTTTACCTTTCAGACAATTCTGACAAAAGAGAAAGTGAAACATTACATTTTCTCCAATTTATTGTGCAATATATTGAGTTTATTTTAAAACGGTTCTTGAAATTTTCTAAAATATTAGATTTAAGCAAATATTCATGTAGTTTAGAAGTAAAAAAGGGAAATGGCAACCAGAATTTATTTATACCAACCTTAAATGATTTGAATGGAACTTTACATTAAGATTCAGAGAACATTGTTCCCACTTTCCATGAATCCATAGAGATAATCCCAAAGTGTTTCATAGGGACAGTTTTTTTAATATATTTTATTGGAGCAATTTTTAAATATTTTGTTATTGTAAATAGACCATGGTGAATTGGATGTTGGTACTTTTGTTTTAGGATTTTCCTTTAACATTTTTAGAAATTGAAATGCTTTAAAAGTAACAAAATGAGGCTCACATTAAATAGTTGCATTGACTAATAAAAATTAGTATCTTGTTCATTTAGTTGGCATAGGAAAGAGATATCTTGAAAGTTTGAGAAAATAATTTAATATTTACTGAACCCAACCTTATATAGGAATTAGCCTCTGTTGGTTCCAGAAAAGATAAGATCAACTATAGTGAGGACTCTGTATTGATAGCTACATCTGCTTTTCCTTCACTAATCTAAATAAAGTTGCAGATAGGAGCATATGGTCCCTGAACCAGATCATCATAAATTTAAATTGTGGAGCAGGTGTGTTGAAATCAAGAAGAAATCTGAAATTTTACTATTAAAAAAATTAAGAAAAGTAGGCCTTTGGGGCACTATCCCTTTGATGGATTTGTTTAAATAATTGAAGATTTTTGGATGACACAGAGAAACTAGTCTGAGAATAAAAAGATGCAGTTTTATGATGTTATTGTTGCTCTTGTTTAATGTAATCTACCATTTAATCACACATTTGTCAAGTACAGATAAACCTTCCGACTGATGGTACTGTTGTAAAGAACTCTTGAACTCACCTGACCTCATCACAAAACTGCCCAGCCTGTTCTCTGCATGTGCCTTCAGCTAGTCATGCTAGACTTTGCTGTGTCTGCATTTCAGAGGGAGCTGTCAGTTGCATGGTCAACTCGTTTATTGTTACCAGAACTCTCTGACCACCCCAGTTCATGAAATGATTTGTTTCCATGTAAACACACATAAAATGCGGTGCATTTTTAGAATATCATTTGTTAAGCAACTAGGCATGGAAAAATAAATGTTACTGTTTCTTGTTAGCTATAAAACACATATCCACTAAACACATTTGCTGTTGGCATGCTGCAGTTGGGGACAGTGGACATTGCGGTAAGTGGAAAAGACAAGGCCTCCACTTTGTCTCAGATAATCCTTATCCATGAGAACACTGCCTTCATCCCCCACAAGGGCTGCAGCATGACTTAGAAGAGCTGCTCTGGGTGACTCCCCCATAGACCCATTGCCCCATTATTTCTTCAGTCCCTGCTGAATCCTGGGCCTCTCACATTGATAACAGTGTTTTGCCTGCTAATAATTAGCACAGTTACTTAAAGAAGCAAGAAAACAAACAAAATGGAAGCATACTTCCTGCAGTTCATTTGATTCCCACAAAAATCCTTTAGTTATGTTGCTGTTTTCATCTCCATGTCAGAGATGAGATTCCAAAACTCATGTCTCTTTGGTTCAACCTTACCTTTACTGGCACATCACACCACATCTCTTGATTAGGAATGTGTGAAGATGCATTTGGGATTTTTGTTGTTGTTAATGCTTCCTTGAACCATCCACAACAATTTAATCCTGGCCAGGACCAGAGAACTGAATGTTTGAACAAATATAATTTACCAGTAGCTGCCACAGCAAATCAATAGCCTGTTTAATAGCAGGAAATTGTGTTAGTGAACATTACATCTCATTCTGTTAATCAGTCATCTCATTCATTATATGTTGAGGCTGTCCTATCCTGGTGGTTTTTGTCTCACACGAATGAATGTAAGCATAAAAGAAATGTAATGTTAAGTGTTGTATGTTTAGTATTGTGAATGCAGTGCTATCAACTGCTATGAGATTGCATGAATGTATGGATATCATAATCTTGCCTGGAATAAAAAATGCATGCTGAATGTAGGTATATATGTAACTGTCATCCCTGTTTTCCTGTAGAAATGTTTAGAAATTACAAAGAGATATGCTCTCAAACAAAAAATAAATGAAACTCTTTTTAATTTAAAAGTTGAGGCTAATGCTAAAATCACCTGACAGTTTTTAAAGTGAATTCCAAACCAGTTCTTGTTTATCTCCAGTGTAAGTGTGTACAAAATGTACCTGGTCGCAGTCATTTCTATGATGAATCCAAGAAGGGTGTGTATGCCTGTGGAATGAGACTGATCTCACGTAAATGCAAACATATTAAATGAAGCTCAAAATTTTCAATAAGGATAAAATACATTTCTGTGTTCCTACTTGCTGAAAACACTTTATCTATAGAAATACATGACCATATACAATTTCATCCAATTATGTACCCAAGTGAGATTAAAGAAATTGCTTGAAATGGAATAATCATGCCTCTGTTCTCCACAGTCAGAAGCTAAGTTTTAAGGAGCGAGTGCGCATGGCTAGCCCGAGGGGCCAGAGTATTAAGAGCAGACAAGCTTCAGTAGGTGACAGGAGGTCCCCAAGCACCGACATCACAGCCGAGGGCAGCCCCACCAAAGTACAGAAGAGCTGGAGCTTCAATGACCGCACCCGCTTCCGGCCCTCGCTACGCCTCAAAAGTTCTCAGCCAAAACCAGTGATAGATGGTAAGCTCTGCTTTTCCATGACCATTTTTAATTTGATAGGCAATAGTGAGTGAGATTATGAAGTAATTAATTCTCCATGGTACCACTTGAAGATAGAAGGAAACACTCCAGAGAAAGAAATTGCTTGTTTGTTTTGTTGGAAATTTATTCATTGCCTTGGGCAAGCGTACAGAACATAAGTTAACTTTTGGAAGCGACTTTGGCAGTTAAATTCGCATTTCAAAGAAGCCACTGGACAGATCTGTAGTGCAGTGGTAGAGCTTAGCATAGGCAGAGGCCCCAGGTTCCCCCCCCCCAAAACACCAACAACAACAAAAACCAAAAAAAGATTTTATTGATTTTTCACTTATATCTACAATCTATTTATTGTGAGATCAGCGTGGCTGTCTTTCTGACATATATTAAGTCTGACCAGCAAAGGCTTACGGACAACCTGGTGCTCTGAATATCCTGAAACATAGCAGAGTGTGACAACACCTTTCTAGTCAATGAAGAAGGTGCTCTTCCCCTTCCTCACCCTCACGTTCTCCGTCTACCACAGGTCAGACCACTGCCTCTCTTCCTCAGAAAAATTTCTGCTGAAAAGTTCTTAAATCTCCCAATGATAAGTAAAAGTCAAGTTCTTCTCCCAAGTGCAATTAACCTACTTTATTTATCATATTACGTGCCAGACGTTTACTTGCTAACACACTTTATTGAGTGCCACATCATTTTCATGTTTATGAAACAAAACGTTTATTTTTCATTTAAAGATTAGCTTGTTTTCCCTTTTAAGTGTGCCCTCTGGGATCTCTTATACTGGGCAAAGAACCAAAATCAAATAGCATCTGCCATTAATGCATAAAAAATGCAAAGGCTATCAGTCCTTCTGTTCTCGTTCCCTAGAATAACCTGTATTTTCCCAGGCCCTGAAGGCTCAAGGGATAAAATTAACAACCAAGGGTCATAATCAACAGTGATCTCAGGCTCCCTGCAGTGAAATCCCTGGAACCTCAGCCCAGGGCCCCATCCAGTTTACCCAGAGATCTTTGGGGATAAGCTTCCACCCTCAAGTGAGTGATGCAAATCCCTTCTTCACACTTTTCCATTCTCCACAACCCCACAAGGGCTACACTCTCCAGACTCCTAGCTGCTGACCTGATGTGGTCCCTCCTGGCAGAGCTTGCAGCTCCCACCTCGACTTCAGTACATGCTGATCCTGCCACGCTGCGCCTCCACCTGTTGCTTTGCTAAGGTGGGAAATGCCTCCTCCTTCAACACTGGACACTCCTCCATCAAGCCACTTGGAATGCCCTGAGTCACTGGTGGCAGAGATTTTCAGTGTCCTCTAGTTTCTACACTTTCCTTCCTTGGAATTTGGCTAAAAGCCCTTAAGCAGCTGAGTATGGAGTTACTGGTGACAAGGCTTTATGCTGCACTCAAAATAGATTCACTGGATATAAATGGGTGCATCCTTTCCGAAGGTAATTCAGCAAAATATATCAAAGACTTTACAAATACCTGAGCCTAGACCTATCCCGCTTACCAATTCTACTTCTAGAATATAATTGATAGAATGTAATAATATCAGATATGAGAAAAGAATTATTCCATTTTTGCTTATATATAGGTATATATTGTGCATATAGATTTGTGTGTTTACAGGAAAAAGTCTGGAAAGACAACAATATATGAATACTAATCTTGAAGAGGTGAGATCCTAGTTACATACCATTTATTTGTTTTCTTCATCTATACTTCCTAATATTTCTACAATGAACATGTAAATCTTTTGTAATAAGAAAGCAAAAGGATTTTCTTTTGTTAAAATATAATTCTTCCTTGCACACACTGCCCTCTCACCCTGCTGTACTCTAGGGCCCTGGGACCAACCAATACTCTCAAACCCCCGTCCTTAAGCTGATTTTCTCCCATGTGGTAGTGGTGGAGACCAGCATGCACAGAGTGCAGTCATGGATTGTCAGATGAGTTTTCACATGTTCTTTTACGAATACAGTTTGTATGAGTTTGCTTGGACTTTTGTAACAAAGCACTACAAATGTGGTTGTTTAAACAACAGAAATTCATTTTCTCACAGTCTAGGAGCTAAAAGCCCAAGATCAAAGTGTTGGAAGAATGGTCCCATCTAAAGGCTTGCTTCTTGACTTTCAGATGGCCACCTTCTCTCTGTATCTTTACAGTCTTCCCCTTTTTCCTGTCTGTGTCCATATTTCTTCTTCTTAGAATAGTAAGCATACTGGATTCAGGTCCACCATAATAATTCATTTTAACTTCATTACCTTTTTAAATATCCTATCTTCAAATACAGGATCATTATGAGGTGCTGGGGATTAGGATTTCATCACATGAATTGGGGAAGGGGGTCACTGCCTCCTGTGACAGAGCTCCTGCTTCCCACATCACAGTGTCCCTGGTAAACTGAGGTGCATCCATATCTTCACCCCTGACCCTGGGTTCATAATGTACTAGAAACACATTAATTATACATTACAATGGGTCTGTATTCTAAAGTCGGCTTCAGCAAACATTCAGCTCCTTGCTGTGACATCCTTACATTTGGCTGAGCATATTCAAACATAAAAATTATAGAATATGGATTCTAAGCATGGAAAATGAATCCTAGTACTGTTTGGCCAGAGGGAAAAAGAATTTCAAAGACTTGATAGAGTCAGCAGTATCCATCACAGTATTCCCAGTATCTGCAAAGATGTCTCAGAGGTGAGACATAAAAACAGATGTCTTGTCTCTACCATTTCACAAGTTGGAGAGGCCTCCTGTCACCCACTTTCTAGATCATTTCATACAAGTGCATTCTGTTCGGTTGGAAAGGAATTACTGTTCGCTGGCTGATGCCCATCTCGATGGATTCTGAGCTCCTCAAGTAATGAGAGGACTGACTACTGATCTGCCAAAGTACCTTCTGGCTGTCCACCTGCAGGAGATGGTGGCTCCTGACTGCTCATTTAAGCCAATAGTCCAGAATCATTACCTCTGATATACATGATGTTGAGTCTTAGAACATTGGAAATCCTTTTTTAGAGAAAAGAAAAAAAAAAAAACTGAAGTAGCTATCGAGTAAACGTAGACTTCAATTATACATTTTTATTTTTAGTGCCTCTCCAGGCTTTAAGTAGTTCTAAAATCCACTTACTCCCCTTAGAAAATAATACAGAACACTACAGTCAACTCCCAGTTATTCTAGGTCCTTTAGTTCATTCACTTCTGGAAATCTTTTCTTCTACTTCTCACTTTTCTTTATATATTTTTAGGCATTTAATTGCCCATTAGCATGCTCAAGGAGATTGGATGAATAAAAGAAAGAATAATGGAAATTCAGTTCAGCCTGCAAATTAATAACCAAAGCTATATTTCAAAAGTAATGGGCCTATAACCAAAAAATACTATAAAGGAAAAGAAAACAAATTCAGAGTTAATCTATAAATTGTAATAATTCCCACTAAATCTGATACTCTTTACCATAGATGGCAGTATTTTGTAATTTAATGGCTCCTTCAAAAGCTTATTAGGTATCCATGTTGCTTTTCTTTGTTTGTTGTAACTTTCAATGAGATTACTATGTTACACTTTAAAAGGACACAGTTATCTCCTAATATTCCACACTCATGTGTATCAGAGAAGTAGAAAGTAGCAGGCAGATGATGGAAACCAGAAATGTACAAAGGACAAAAGAAGAAAGTTAACTTTAAGGACTGATGAGATATTACCATAGCAAATTTATTTTGATCAATATGATATGATTGGTAGTTTTAGTTCATATATCCTGGAATAACAAACAGAAAGCCAATATTTAAGTATTTGAGCCACTTTGTGTAATTTTAGAAATTAAGTAGCACAGAAATGATATTTTATCATGAGTACATAAGAACAATAATGATAAAACTTTGATTGAATCCTCTGTGACAGGCATGTTCTAAATGCTTTTTCCCTCTTATCTCATTTAATTTTCCCTGTACCCCCATGAAGTTGTGACATTATTATCCCCATTTTATGCATGAGGAAACTAAGACCTAAAGCTAAGTCATGTGTTCATGTAAAGGACCCACAGTGCACACCTGCCCTCCTTCAGGCACATTGTAAGTTGTGCTCTAGGCAGTCACATCAATTTCCCTTCGGCATCTTTCATTTCTTCTCTTCCTTCCTGCCCACCTTTCACTCTTCCATCTTCAGTTGGTCCAGATCCTCCATCTCATGCAAGCCATTTTACCTTGCTACTGCTCCACACTGTATTGCAGCCCCAGCTGCCATACCTCTTAACTGCATCATCTTCAAAGGATGCCAGAGATAGAAGATTAGGCAAATTGGGGAAGTGGCCTTTTGTTGACCCTTCTCTGTTTTGATCAGGTATCTAGGAAGAGATCCAGGATAATAGCTATGCTGGTCTGTGTCCATTTACCCAGGCAGGGAAGCAAATGATGAGGTTATCTGAGGTCTGTTTCAAGATGCAAAAGGTAACAGTGGGAGATGGACAGCTGTTGTCAACAGATGAGCAAGTGGAAGGTAGCAGATAGCAAATAAGAAATAGCAAGCCAAAATCTACATGAGTGAAACTAAGGTAGAGCTGGGGAAAGTTTTCAGATTCTGGGTGACTAGTTTGCTATCGAGGAGAGCTATACTTTTCAGAACCTGCTGCACGTGGGAATGCCTTTCAGAACAGCGCTTAAAGAATTCAATAACTTGGATAGAAAAGAACGAGGTGGTAACTTGAGGTAGGTCCACTCTGTAGTGCTTAGTAATTTGATATTAACTTGAGAGTTCTAGAGTAATTAGCATCTGTTAGTTCCAGAAATGTCCATAGATTTAAAAATATAACTCACACATAGATTTAAAAATGTAACTCACCAGTTCTCCACCCCCACTCCATCCCTGGTACTAGGGATTGAACCCAAGGGCTCTCTAACACTGAGCTATACACCACCACCACCCCCAGCCCTTTTTATTTTTATTTTGAGACCAGGCCTCACCAAGTTACCCAGGCTGGC